TTGTCCTTTTGGACTTAAATTTAAATGTTTTAACCAGACTAATAGTCGAGTTTAGTAGATGACATATTTTCCGTATCAAATATAACAAATGAATTCAAATTTCAGTACTACATAATAAAAAAAAATTATTCTCAAAAAAAAAAACAAAAAACCAGAAGTACCAATTGAACATGTGAATTCACTTCTATTTTTTATTTTTATTTTTTAAGTCATTTGAAGCCTTTGCTCAATGAGGCTTGCCTTTAATGAATAAGCAACCTATGACCCACATGACTTTGTGCAAGCAACATCAGCACATGACTCCAAAAACAGGGGTACCAAGCAAAGGTTGACGTAAAGTCAGACATGAACAAATGTTAAGATCGTATGGATTTAAGAAACGGGCCGGTTTCACTGGCCCAATAGAATTCAAGTGATCAGCCCATAAACTTGATAGAGAATTGGGCTCTCACAATTTTCACAATTTAATTTTGGGCCTTCTAGTTCAACCAAACCAACAGTATTGCATTGTATAACCCTGGCAGGAAGAAGCTGCTCTGCCAACAACAGTTCTGATTTTCAAAATTTTAATTATTTTTATTTTTTAAAAACACACAGAAAACATTAAAATAAATTATATTCAAAAACCATTTTCTCATAAAAAAATTTCAAAAACCATTTGGTTTGAGTTTTTAGAAATTATTTTTAGATGGATTTTCGTATGTCTTTCCTAATTTTTTTTTCATATTTTATTTATTTATTTTTAAAATTTTTAGACATATGAAAGTTAGATGAATCTAAAAAGTAAAAAAAAAAAAATTATTAAGAAAGGCAATAAATTTTTTTAAAAAAATACATAAAGATTTTTGTTCAAATTTTCGTTTATTTTTGTTATTAGGAAAAATTGCCGAAAACTCTCATTTGGAAAAATGTTACTCCATTAGTCCTGGAAGTTTTCTTTCAAACCAATTAATCCTTTTTTTTTTTTTATGGTATATTGTGGAGTTTACTTGTTTACCCTTGAGTATGATTTTGGTTGTGATTTTTTCTTGATGTTTGGGTGGCTTGGTTATGTTATAGTGTTAATTTTTCAAATTTTTGTGGAGGATTGCGCGGGGTGATTTGTGGGGTTAGTGGTATTTAGCCATTTGATATGGGAGGGTTGATGTGTGGGGTTAGTGATGTTTAGCCATTTGATGTGGGAGGGTTGATGTGGAATTGTGGTGTTGTAGTTGGTTGTTATTTATTTATTTATTTTTGGTTTGATTTTGTGACTAATGTTTGGGTGGGTTTATTAAGGCATGATGCTATGTGTTTAATTTTTATTGTTCGGGTTGCGTAGAGTGATTTTTGGGGCTGATGTTGTTGTTGCCATTTCATACCACACTACATGTGGGATACTTCCTAATGTAGATGCGAATGTAATCACATACAACCAAACATGAATGTAGTATACACTTCAAATTAACAGTGGATTGGACAATAAAAAAAAATATCAACACATTAACACTACCACCCACACAAGACCCACTAAATACATGAATATACGTGGTGTAAATGTTATTGCAAAACCCACTAAATACATGAATACTAATTCTATTTTGTGGTGACATGTGTTTAGTGGGTTATGAGTGTTCCATATGTGGTACGATATTACTGCTAACGTTTACTAATAGCTACATTGTACAAATGTTATTACAAAACATTTTCATAAATCAAACATTACACGGTTGTAATCACATTACACGGATATCGTACTTTGCAACAACACGACACCTACTAACTGTACAACATACATACGCTACTTTCAAACGTTCAACTCAACCAACTACACTAATATTCTACAAGCCTGAGGCAAATAATTTCGTCACCTATCCAACGATTGTTGCCTACACGTCACATGACCTACACAACATTGTAATTACACATAAGCAATTCCAACAACGTCAAAATATGCCATTGTTACCCCCTCCCCATGCACCCCGCTTTCATACCATGGTGGCATTCAAACACACACATACGAAATGAGAATGTAAATCACAATATTACCAACATAATTACGTCAGCGGTCTTACCGACAAAATTGGAATGTTGTGTTTGACCCATTAACGTCACACACACAAAAGAATGCAAACATCACATCGAATGTGCACACTCACACACCAATCAACATACACCTAACATGTAACAACCAGAAAATTTAAGTTGTTTTTTAAATTTTATATTAGTATTATTTAATTATAAATGAAAAAAATCCTAAATGTTTAATAAAATATTTCAAAAGAGTAAAATAAAATAAAGTATAATTTATTTACATCAAGGGTCATTGTATAAAAAGGAAAAAAAAACTAGTAATGCAATTACATAAACTTATCAATTTGAGGGATAAGCTTCAATTTAGAGCATCATAACGACAGCTACATAGAGAGGTTACGTGGTGTGGCTAGGTGTCACCTAAAGTTTGCTGAGCAAGTATTGCACCTTGTATAAAAGAAGGAGAGGCGTTGTGAACAAGAGGAAGGAAAAAACAAATAAAGAAAGGAAAAGAAAATACTGGAAGTCAAGAAGGTCTTTGATAGTGGAAAGAAAGAGTGAGATATTAATTTTAAGGTGAACTATATTATACCTTGAGTCACTATCATATATTTTACGTGTGTTTTGAGTTACCATAATTTATTTTACGCAATTTGTGTTTTATAAATTATATTATCATATTTAATTTATGAACCTTATTTTTATATAATAAGGAAAACTCATGATATACCTGTTTATTAAAATGTGTTTTGAGTAATTATTTTATAAGTACCACCACAGAGATCCCATGTATTGGAGGACTTAAATAACTATTGACTTTCTGATTAGTCACTTTGGAACCCTCTGTCTGTCATAAATCCACTGATACTCTAATTTCTGCTGTAGAGCAAAGTGTTGTACGGAGCTAAGTGCTACACTTTTGTGGGGGCCACCTCTATAATTTGTACGAGCCACCTCTTGAGTCCATATATCTGTTCCGTTCTGTACTGTGGTTATGATTATTTTATTTATATGATTTTTGTCAAATGATTTTTGTATTATATATTCTGTATTTTAATATCAAGCTCTATTTAGCCAACAATTATCCATAGTGAATTTTATGCCCTTATGCTCTTAGTATAATATTACTCACTCTGCCGTGTACTTATAGTTGTTTACCAATTGTCAGGAAACAATGCAATTCAAAAATAGTTTTTTGAGAGTCTTAAATGCAGGGTTGCGGAATAGACACACATGACACTTTTATAGTATTTATAATTTTATTCTTCATATATAAATATCGACTTTTTTGGTCAATAAATTTTGTTATAAAAGTAGAAACTCCAATGATTATTATGGTACCCTCACTTAAATATTTTTTTTCCGCTCGTGTTTATTCAAGAATTAGCTGAAGGTAACTTCAGTTACTGGCTATCACGATACTTAACTCTTCGGTACGAAGAGCGGGTCGTGACATAACATACTCAATTTGGCTAACTACACCTATGAACACTATCACAAAGACAAAAAAACTCCCATAGTCATTCAAAAAATCTTCAACTCCTGTTACATTACGTGTTTCTTCGACTAGCAACACATGCGTGTGTGTTGCCCATAGACGACATCACAAAATGGAATGCAATGCACAGTAACACAACCTTCAAACCAATACATACTTCAGCAACCCAATAAAAAAAATGCCAACACATTAACACTACTACGTACATTTTCACCAATCCATATCCAAAAAATCAATACATACATCAGAAAACCATATATGACACACTTATCGTCATGTGTTTCTGCCATGATCTCCCGCGTCAATATTGTGTAGATGTCGTATTCACTGCTAATGCATGGACGAAATGGTTATCACACCCAACGTCACGAACACTGCAAAGTACTACTATAAATGGGGGTTTTGGGAGGTACGCTAATGTTAATTTGGGAGATTAACATCAACATTACCAAATCGAACACGAATCCCAAAACTCACGTTAGTGAATTGCTGCAATATTGGAATCAACGTTATTACAAAACCTTCCATCTTTACCGTCACAATTCCGATCACGTAGAAGGGATAACAACAAAACACTATTTCCATTGTTGGACACTTTAGTAATTTTAACATCAACACAAACCCATATTTGCCCTCATTATTTCAAACCTAAATGCATAAATCTTGGGCTATAAACTCTTTAACGTTGAAATAGGACCTAGGAGCCTTAAAAAAAAAAAACATAAGACTAAGCCTCCGTTTGGGAAGTGGGTTGACTTTTTGACTATTTTAGTCTGGGGCTAAAAAGTCTGGTTTGGGAAGGATTTTTTGGCATTTTAGTTTTTTTGACTTTTTTGTGAGAGATGAGTGTAATGATTATAGGTTGAATTTGATATTTTATTTTTTGTGGCTAAAATAGCCTATTTTATTTTTTGTGGCTATTTTAACCCCTAACCCACCAAAACCAACTTCCCAAACTACGCCTAAATGGTTTAACATTTCCAAATTTGAGATACTTTACTAGTATTTTTTAATATTTTAGTCAATTTAGATTACTTGATAGATTCATTTTGATTAAGTGCACTTAAAAAGTATAAAAAATTAATTAAAATATAAAAATAATACAAAATAAAATTAAAACTCATTTAAAAATAATTTTTGAAAAATCACAAAACCAACTTCCCAAACTATGCCTAAATGGTTTAACATTTCCAAATTTGAGATGCTTTACCAGTATTTTTTAATATTTTAGTCAATTTAGATTACTTGATAGATTCATTTTGATTAAGTGCACTTAAAAAGTATAAAAAATTAATTAAAATATAAAAATAATACAAAATAAAATTAAAACTCATTTAAAAATAATTTTTGAAAAATCAAACAAAACAGACACCATGATTTTCACATTTTATGTACTCTGAATTTCTTTGTGTTAATTTTCTTTTATTTATAAATGAAGATATTTTTTTCCAAACAAATAAAATACTACATAGATAACCCTACTCTACCCATCTCAAAAGGGAAAAAATCAAGCACAAAAAAATGAAAATATTTTTATTATTTTATTTATAATGAGCCTTGAAAATTCAAAAACCAAAGGCAAAAGTTGATTTGGACGATATAGAAGTCATCTTCGAATTCGTGCCAAACCCAGAGTTCGAAACAAAAAAGCAAACCCAGTCTACAAATCACCACAATCTCCACTTCGCCGCTTGATTTCACAGCTCCGACTCTCCCACAACTCAGGTTCGTTGTGTCCAAAATTTCTCTAAAACCCTTCATTTTTTTTTTACATATATATGTAGCTATATTTGTGTAAATTTGCTGTCTATTGCTATCATGTGTCGAACATTGGCTTCACAAGTTAGTAGATTCATGGGTTTTGCCTCAAATCTGCAACCCACCGTTTGGTTCCCGAGAATGTCGAGGAAAAGAAACGAAATTGAAGAAGATTTGAAGGATCTTTTTGTTTTCTATTGTTTTGGTAACAAAAGAAATTGAAAATCACTGCGCTTAACTGAATCAAAGAGTAATATTATTATTTTTGGTTGAAGTAATGCCATTTCATTTTTGTTTATTTGGTGGGTTTGAAACTAAAATTTTAAAGTTCAAATTTTGAAGTTATGTATTTCAATGTGGTTTGGCATTTTTAAGCTCTGAGTTATGTTTGTAATTTTTCATATTCTTCAGGTATTGGTTTGTTGCCCAGATGTAATTTGGTTGACAATTATGTCGATCCTCAGTAGATTTTTTCACAGAAGAGCCCCGGATGGCTTGCTTGAATTTGTTGACAGGGTATATGGTAATGAAATTTCCTTCTCTAACCTAATTATCTTGCTAACTTGCTATATCATTAGTTTGTCCTTTTTTGGGTTTGTGGTTTGTATGAGACTTTGGTTTGTATGAACCTTATGCTAAAAAGCACAAACATGGACACGACACAACAAGGATATGTAGATACGGCAGTTCTCAAAAAATGCAGGACACAAACCCGTGAGACCGAAACATGTGCAAAATAGGATGATTAATAGGTGTATGAATATTTTATTAAAAAATAATAAAAACTGCTACACCTAACACTAGTTTATAAAGACTAAAGTATGTGTGATTAATACATTCAATCTCAATTAATTTTCTTCAAAGTGTTTCATGTGTGTCTAATCAATGGACACTTGTATTCCCAAGTGTATGAAGTGTGTCAAGGTGTAAACAAAATTAAAATAAAGGACACATTTGGATGTGTGTTAAAGATATGAATTGGTGTCTGATACAAACATGACACCTCCTTGGAAATGTTTGCGCTTCTTAGGCATTGTGAAACCCCTATTGGGTATTCCCTCATTGTGTAAATATGAATACCCCTTTCTTTCTAGTTCAAAAGGAAAAATGTGTGCCTTGTATTTGTCCCACATTGGAGCAGATAAGTTACTCCACCTGCTTGAAGACCCTTTTTTTTTTTTGGGTGTTTGGGGAGCTTAACCCTTAAAAAACTCCTGTTGGGTGCTCTTTTCTTTCTCTGTTCAAATAACATGCTCATTTTTATGTTATTTTTGGTGGTTTTATGGTGTGTGTATTTTTTGCAGTTTTTGACTCTTGCTTTTCGACTGAAGTTTTGCCCGATGGGTTGTATCAACTCTACTTGCATGAGATTATAACTGAATTACATGAAGCATTCCCTGAGTCATCCTTTCTTGCATTCAATTTCCGAGAAGGAGAGAAACGGAGCCAGTTTGCTGAAATTTTATGCGAGTATGATGTTACTGTCATGGATTATCCACGACAATATGAGGGTTGTCCCCTGCTACCACTGTCTTTGATTCACCATTTCCTTCGTGTTTGTGAAAGTTGGCTCTCAGGTGGGAATCACCAAAATGTTATTCTGTTTCATTGTGAGAGAGGGGGTTGGTCACTCTTGGCGTTTCTTTTAGCTAGTTTCTTGATTTTCAGAAAGTTGCATAGTGGAGAAAAAAAGACTCTTGAAATTGTTCATCGGGAGGCTCCTAAGGGTTTGTTACAGCTGTTGTCACCATTAAACCCATTTCCTTCTCAGCTTCGCTACCTCCAATATGTATCAAGAAGAAATATATCTCCAGAGTGGCCTCCTCCAGAACGAGCTCTTTCTTTGGATTGTCTCATTCTTCGTGCTATCCCAAGCTTTGACAATCAAAATGGATGCAGGCCACTTGTCCGTATTTTTGGTAGAAATCTCCTTAGCAAGGGTGGGCTGACCACCCAAATGTTGTTTTCCATGTCCAAGAAAAATAGAAGCCTTCGCTACTACCGCCGGGTAAATTTTATTTTTGCTTGCATGATTCTTTTTGCATTGCTTTTTACTTCTTGTATAGGTTGATGTCAATATTAATATGTTTCTTTATTGCAGAAGGACAGTGACGTTATTAAGATTGACATTCAGTGTTTCGTGAAAGGGGATGTTGTATTGGAGTGTGTCCACTTAGACTTGGAACCCGCAAGAGAAGTTATGATGTTTCGTATAATGTTTAACACCGCTTTCATTAGGTCCAACATCTTGATGCTTAATTCTGAGAACTTGGATATCCTTTGGGATTCAAAGGTGCGGTATCCGAAGAGCTTTCGAGCAGAGGTGAATATTTTATGACAAGTAAATATTGAGTCTTTCAGAAACTTATTTTTTTTTTAAATCTATATTGCCCATATATCTCATTCAAATATTATTCTGCTCAAGTTCAGGTTTTGTTTGGTGAGGTTGAGAACATCTCTCCCCACAAAGCTCCAACTACAATCTTAGGTGGTGAGGAGAAAGGTGGATTGCCCCTCGAAGCTTTTTCAAGGGTTCAAGAACTTTTCAGTGGTGTTGACTGGGTTGATAACGGTGATGATGCTGCATTATGGTTACTCAAACAGCTTTCAGTGTTAAATGATGTCAAAGAATTGTCAATAATGAGAAGTAGAGCAAGTTCATATTTATCACCTTTTGATTCTGAAGAAGAAAATAATGCATCTAGCACTGCTGATAGTCTGGATTTTCTGGACTCAGAAAAGGTTAATAATCTAACATACACTGGTGCAACGGGTTTGAAATTCCTGGATGATCCTTTGTCTCAGGACTCTGCATCAGATGAAGCGTCAGATCCGAGGATTTCTGCAGATGCACCAAAGCTGCTCATATCAGATGCTGTTGATTCAAATCTCTCTTCTTTTGTGGGAGGTGTTCAACATGATGTAGATATGGCTTTAACATGTTCCAATCAAGTTCCATTTGTAACTGTTCAGGAACAATTTTCACTTCTAAGTGAAGAAAGTCCACCTTGTTCTCCTTCGCCACCACTGCCTCCAGCACCTCCCTCTGTTGTTTCTGGTACAGAGACTGTTCCACCTCCACCCCCACCTCCACCTTTTCCAATTAATTCTACATGAGGGCCTTCACTACCTCCACCTCCTCCACCACCACCACCCCCAGCAGCTTTGGCTCTTGCTACTAATTCTAGTAGAGGACCTCCACCACCTCCTCCCCCTCCTCCTCCACGAATTTCTTTCTCTGTTAGAGATCCTTTAATCCCTTCACCACCCACTATTAGTAGGGGTCCTCCTCCACCGCCTCCTCCTCCACCCCCTCCACCTCTTGCTACCAGTAGAGGTCCTCCATTGCCAGCTCCACCTCCTGCCACCAATAGAGGTCCTCCATTGCCACCTCCACCACCACCACCACCACCACCACCTCCTCCTCTGCCTCCCATTACAAGTAGCTATCCTTCACTTCAATACACAATTCTTTCTCTTTCTTTATACATAAAACTAATACCCCCCCTCCACCTCCCACTACAAGTAGAGGTCCTCCACCGCCACCTCCTCCAACTCCCACTACAAGTAGAGGTCCTTCACCGCCGCCACCTCCACCTCCTACTACAAGTAGAGGACTTCCACCACCTCCCCCTTCGATCTCTTCTTGGGGTCCCCTACCTCCACCACCTCATTCCCTTTCCTCTGTCTCTACTCGTCCATTCCCATTGGCACCTCCACCTCCACCTCCTCCTCCTCCGCCACCCCCACCCCCACTGGCATCACAATCTGCTGGTACTGTCGCTAATAAGACTCCACTTCCTCCAGGACCCCTTCGACAAGGCTCCAACCCCCCACCTCCTCCACCAAAACCAAAGCCTCCTGGTGCCCCCCCTCCACCTCCAAGTCGTGGTTTGGCACCGGGTCCACCTCCACCACCTGGAGTAAAGGGCTCCAGTGCACCACCGCCACCACCTCCATCTACCGGGAGGGGAAGAGCCTCATCAGGTTCAACACCTCATGTAAAAGGTCGAGTGGGTATAGGTTCTATTCCTCCTAAGCGGACTTCATTAAAGCCCTTACATTGGGTGAAAGTTACACGAGCAATGCAAGGGAGTTTATGGGCCGACTCTCAGAAACAGGAAAATCAGACAAGGTATGTGGATTTGAAATTCTTATTTTAAAATCCGATGCTCCAATCTAGTTTTAGATGATGTAGATGTAATTTTTGGAATTTCTTGAACCATTCCATTGGGATTTGCCTGAATCAGACATTTACTTTTGTTTACTTGTGCATCTTTGGATGTTTTCACGAGCTCAGTGGTTGGTCGTAGTACTCTGCATGCCATATAGCAATCACTGACAATGAACTTAGTGAAGCCTTTTTATAAAATATTAAAAATAACTAGCGGTTCCCTTTCCTGTCACCTTCTCCGTATATGATAGGATGCATTTTCTGTAGGTTTAATTTATGTTTTTGGTTTTTCTTATGTCTTTTTTCTTCTTTTGTTTTCTTTTTCTCTGGTCTCTATTATAATTGTCTGAGGTTACATGATGAAATTTCTTGATAGGGCCCCTGAGATTGATATATCAGAACTTGAAAGTCTGTTCTCAGCTGCTTCTGCTTTGGATGGCACTGACAAAGGTGGAGGTCGACGTGGTCCGAAAATCAATAAACCAGAGAAAGTACAACTGGTTAGTGAATATATTTTTCTTTTAACTTTCTAAGAAATTGTTACAGCTATTTATTCCTATATGTCCAGCATTTTATAATGTATCTTTTGAGAATGTCAATTTGTATGTCATGATTACAGAAGGAAGTCAATCAATATTATATATAATTTTTGTATTGTTGTATAAATCTTTTTTATATATATTTTTTCCAGGTTGATTTGAACAGAGCAAAAAATTGTGAAATCATGCTCACCAAAATAAAAATTCCTCTCTCGGATATGATTGTAAGCGCATCTGTTTCTCTTCTCATTGCATTTGTTGCTATAGGAATGCAATTTTAGAGTCTAGTAGAATTGCAGCTTTGATTTTTCTTATGGATTTCTTTCCAATTGCATCATTGTGGAAAGGACTCATAATATATTGTGAGCAGTCTATGATGGACATGATTGCGTAAGTGATTCAAAAAATAAAAAAATCCGACATTTGTACGGGACAGGGATTATTCTACCTCTCTCCCCCCCCCCCCTCAAAAGGAGATATTAAAGTTATAAATTTCCGTCTGCTACTTTTTTATTCTGTTATTATTTGATGTTTTCTTTTTGAGTTGAATTTTAGTTTGTGGAAATTCTTGTTATTACTGATGCTAGGTTCACATTTAAATTCAATTTAATGAATGAAGATTTTAGTGAAGTAATGTGGTGGGGGTTAGCAGGAAGACTGTGCCTGGTTATTGTAACCAGTGGGGTTTGGTTTCCTTCACAGTGCTATTTGTCCGTTTGGTGCTTGATTTTTAATCTTGTGAAGAGTGATATTACTTAAAGGCATAATGATATGAAGACCAAATTGAAAGAGTTGTCATGGTAAGTGAACTTTCTGTAAGCTGGGTGGGTGGTGGGTTGCTTTTAGCATCTCATAGTTATGATATTATTAGTTTCTGTTACTTTATTAGAGCTTATTGCAAACCTATACATTCTATATCAAAATTAAAATGCTCTACCTTAGTTTGTAAATACCTTTTTATCCTATATAACTGAAACATGTATTTAAAAATATATGAAATTTAGTCACCTTCTGTTGTCTCTGGCATTGTGGTTGTCAAAATCATGATCCAGATTCTAAACTGCAAAAACAATCCAAATAGTTGTAGAATCGATGTTATAACAAGATCACAAGTACGATCGTAGGTAGGATCGATGGGTTTGTGAATTTGCTCCTTATTTTTAATACGTATTATTCTTATTTGTATTTTTACTTTTTTTTTTAATTGAAAGTAGAATCTCACTATCCTCGATTTGATCCACAGGACCCTCTCTCACACCGATCCTAGTAGGATCCCAATTTAAAATTTTTTGACAAAAATATAAAATTTCTGGCCTTATAGTTAAATTATATGACCGTAGAATTAATTGCTCGGGGAGAAAACATCTCCAGAGAGAAAATAAGAAAAAAATATAAAACAAAGAAAAATGAATCACTCACTTGCAAAATCTAAAAGGAAAATCAATATTTATCAGAAGTAATCACTCTGTTTGGTTTCCATATCCAAAATTCACATTTTCAAAAAATTCTACTTTTTCGTTTTCCGTATTTTTTTGTTTTCACCGAATTTTTTTAATATTTGAAACAATTTTTTTAATTTTTAGACACACTTAGCATAAATATACTTAACAAGTATATTTGTGAAAAAAATCTTTTAAAAATTCACTAAATACCAAAAATACAAAAAAAAAAAAAAAAAAGCGAAAATTCAGAACATTTTTTTTGTATTTTTGTGTATTTATTAATTTTTTAAAATATTTTTTCTCAAATATTTTACTATTTAGATATATCTAAGTAAGGTGCATCTAAAAAAGTAAAAAATTGCATAAAATTTTAAAAAAATTCACTAAAAACAAAAAACTCAATTTCCAAAAAGTTGAATTCAGAAAATTAAAAGCAAACACACTGAATATTGTTTGAATTGGTGAATGAGTTGCTAATGCTAACATTTTATACCATAATATATAGTTGTGCACTTGTAGTGCTCTTTATTATCATTTTATTTTTATCATGAAGTTCACTTAATTTGATCATGTCTGAGAATGTAGCTAAAATTGCTAGTGCTGCAGCGTCCATGTCTTTTGCTCTGTCTGATTTAAAGGCATTTAATCTCAACTTTGATAAGCATGTAATGTCTCTGTTCATATCCTAGCCATAAAAGTGGACTGCCAACAAGCTGGTCCTCTTCTCTCTTTAATTTGAGCTACCTGTCAGTCACCATGTTGATTGAGTTTGATTTTTCAAGATCCTTCCATTGTGGACTTCCATGCTACGAAGTCCTTGAGTTTCATTGAAATCTCTACCCTTGGTTGGAACTTGGAACGTTCAGGAAAAAGTGTTTTGTGGTTTTGTGTGTGTGGAAACACAGTAGTTTCATCTGCATCAAATTTCTATTAGATTTTTTTTAGGGGGGTTCTAATGCTTTATTTCCAGAATGCTGTTCTGGCTTTGGATTCTTCAGCCCTGGACATTGATCAAGTAGAAAATCTCATTAAATTTTGCCCTACAAAAGAAGAAATGACAATGCTGAAGGTACACTCCCATAACAATCCCCCCTCTCTCTCTCTCTCTCTCTCTCTCTCAATTTGTTGGGTTTGAGTTGTAATTATGTGATATTTTGATGTCATAGTAAGTGTCTGACTTAGGCATATGTTGAAAAATGAAAAAGGTTTTGTATTAACTTCAAAATTACTCATTTGTTGGTTTCTTGAGCTGTGGTACACTTTTATCTGGTGTACTCCTTTTTTCTTCTCTCTTAAGATGATTTCAAAATTATGTTTAGCTATTTTATTTGTTTCTTACTGATTTTTCTTTCTTTCAGAACTACAATGGGACCAACGATATGCTTGGAAAGTGTGAACAGGTTTTTGTTTTGTCTTGATGATGGAGGGAAGGGAAGTGCAAAAATCCTGTATATGTATTGCTAACAAATTTTGTGCGTGATGAACATTTCAGTTTTTCCTGGAGTTGATGAATGTCCCACGAGTGGAGTCCAAATTGCGAGTATTTGCGTTCAGAATTACTTTTTCCAGTCAGGTATATTGATCTGGGACTTTTTTTTTGTGTATGAAGAAATTTAATGTATAAAGAGAAATAGAGAATTGTATTATTGATTGATATATTGAATGTTACAATGATTCCTATATATAGAAGAGTAGGTGGTAGTAGGTGGTAGATGGAGTAGGTAAAGTGGAGGTGGTAGTGGTGTAGTGGGTTAGGTGAAGTGGAGGTGGTAGTGGTGTAGTGGGTTAGGTGAAGTGGAGGTGGTAGTGGTGTAGTGGGTTAGGTGAAGTGGAGGTGGTAGTGGTGTAGTGGGTTAGGTGAAGTGGAGGTGGTAGTGGTGTAGTGGGTTAGGTGAAGTGGAGGTGGTAGTGGTGTAGTGGGTTAGGTGAAGTGGAGGTGGTAGTGGTGTAGTGGGTTAGGTGAAGTGGAGGTGGTAGTGGTGTAGTGGGTTAGGTGAAGTGGAGGTGGTAGTGGTGTAGTGGGTTAGGTGAAGTGGAGGTGGTAGTGGTGTAGTGGGTTAGGTGAAGTGGAGGTGGTAGTGGTGTAGTGGGTTAGGTGAAGTGGAGGTGGTAGTGGTGTAGTGGGTTAGGTGAAGTGGAGGTGGTAGTGGTGTAGTGGGTTAGGTGAAGTGGAGGTGGTAGTGGTGTAGTGGGTTAGGTGAAGTGGAGGTGGTAGTGGTGTAGTGGGTTAGGTGAAGTGGAGGTGGTAGTGGTGTAGTGGGTTAGGTGAAGTGGAGGTGGTAGTGGTGTAGTGGGTTAGGTGAAGTGGAGGTGGTAGTGGTGTAGTGGGTTAGGTGAAGTGGAGGTGGTAGTGGTGTAGTGGGTTAGGTGAAGTGGAGGTGGTAGTGGTGTAGTGGGTTAGGTGAAGTGGAGGTGGTAGTGGTGTAGTGGGTTAGGTGAAGTGGAGGTGGTAGTGGTGTAGTGGGTTAGGTGAAGTGGAGGTGGTAGTGGTGTAGTGGGTTAGGTGAAGTGGAGGTGGTAGTGGTGTAGTGGGTTAGGTGAAGTGGAGGTGGTAGTGGTGTAGTGGGTTAGGTGAAGTGGAGGTGGTAGTGGTGTAGTGGGTTAGGTGAAGTGGAGGTGGTAGTGGTGTAGTGGGTTAGGTGAAGTGGAGGTGGTAGTGGTGTAGTGGGTTAGGTGAAGTGGAGGTGGTAGTGGTGTAGTGGGTTAGGTGAAGTGGAGGTGGTAGTGGTGTAGTGGGTTAGGTTTAGTGGAGTGAAGTAGGTGATAGATTTTAACAGCCCCCCGCAAACTCAAGGGGGATAGGAACTAACCAACTTGAGTTTGGAGAGAGTAACAAAACAAGAAAATACATAAAAAATAAAAGAGGATAGGAGACACTGTATGGTCGTGTCAGACCGTTGTAGAAGACTGTATGGTTATGGCAGACCGATGTAGAAGACAGTTTATGGGGTCATGTCGGACCGTTGTAGCTGAGGTGGTATA